GCAGTGGACAGCTGGGAGCGGAGTTCCTCCGAGAAGAGCTCGGGGTGCACCTAGGACGTCCACCCTCCAGCAGTGTCCCGGCAGCCGAGCAGAGATAGGTCCCATCTGGGGTGCCAAGATGTTTTGCGGAGAAATCACTCTATAACTTTTGGGGTTATAAAGTGGGTATGTTTATTCAGCGCTGGGCGCATGGGGGATCACTCCACCACAAGCATGCGCATCGTTTGCAGCTCCCGTCCGGCTTATATGTTACAAAATAGTGCATATTCATAAAACGCCTATACATATACGTAGTGTACCCCCGCCTCCCCTCACTTCTCATGGTAATCAGGTCTCCTCCTCTTCTTCGCTGATGAACTTTTCTCCCTGTCGCTCTGCGCAGCCTCAGTTGTTCTCTGGCTTTCTTCCAGGCCAGTGTTTTGGGGTTGTCTGTTCTTCAGAGACTAGGAGGGACTTCTCTTTGGGCTAGGAGTTAATCGCCTAGCAACATTATCAGTACTTGGTATGTCTTTTTGAACAGTCCCATACACCTCCCCTTGTTTTTGCGCAGGCCTTGCACCAACAATCTAAGATTGTTTAGACTCCCTGTCTCACCAGAGGCCTCTCTTTTCCACTGGATTTCCAGAGGACAGGAGCTGCTTAGTCACCCTGGACTTTTCTGAGGAAGAGCAGATCTTTTTTTCTTTTTTTCCTCTACGGGATCACTGCTTCGGGGGGACTGCAGCCACCATTCTACCAGACTGCTACCACCACCCTGATTAACAGGGTGTCAGGTTGTATCCTGACTCTGTTAGTTTAACCCAGTGTTATCTGCCTATAATTTTTTTTTCCCTTATTAAATTGTTATTCTGACTTGGTGTCTCCCACTAGTTTGTTTTCAAACTAGCACAGCACTTTCCCGTGCGTCCAAGTTAGCTGGGTTCACTGCTGGCTCTCCAGTGCCTTGTCTCTACTGAAACAGGGAGCAACACCTTGAAGCAGAGATTTGAAGGTTTATTTATTTTTATTTAAAGTTCCGACTTAAGAATTAGATGGCTACCTGCTGAGGAAAATCTCAAAAAGCCTTATTTACATGGCCAAATGTTCTTACATTTTAAAATACCAGACACACCAGTATCCAGGCTGTTTATACAGCCCTCTGTTGAGAAGGTCTGGGAATCGTGTTCATACGTGATTCTTGACTTCTCTGCTGTATGTTGAATAAATCTGTCAAGTAAACCTAGGTGCCAGTTATGCAAAAATCCTTTGTAAGCACGGAGCACTCCTGTTTGTTGTGGACATAAGGGTAGACTTCAGAATTTGAGGTTCAGTTTTTGAAGTTACAGACCTCTTTGTGTCTGTGATGTGTCACATATTTACGCGTCTGTAGAAGAATAATGCTAGAACGTTACACTGTGCTTTTTCAGATTTACACTTTGGGCATAGACAAACCTGAAGACTGTTGGAAGAAATTTGCCTCAAATCGTGCTGTAGGAGTTCTGCTCTTCACAGGGATTGTGCTTGGAAATCTGTGGAAGCGAAAAAACTCTAAAAATGTAGAAGAGCCTTTAGAAAACAAGTAGTTGAAAATACTGTAAATGCTGATATTTTTAGTCCAACTAATATTATGTTCTGTCAGAAGGAAAACACTTTTAACATAACTATAGCTGCTTTACACTGTTTATTTATAAAAACTGGTGAAAACCTTCTTGTTTCTAAAAAAAAGGCAAATGAGATTATCCTACAATGTAAGTTTTTATTTTCCTTAAATGACTTTAACCTCCAGAGAATCTTCAAGTGAGGCTGCTCTGCTGCTTCTCTGCAGTACAAGCAAACTTCTGTCACGCTCTTAGGACTGTGAGGCCAAGTTTTTATATGAAACAGATGTCTCTTCGTGACAGCACGTGGAAAAATGCAAAGTGATTTCAGGAGGTGAATAAAATGTGGCTGTACATGCTTGCTCTTCTGATTTGATTTAATGAATAGTTTTCTGTTTGAGTTGGAGCTTGTTGCGTGGAATCGTTGCAGTAGCAACGTTTATCCTGAGATGTCTAGAAGCAGTCAGGACTCTGTGAGTGTGTGAGGTCCAGAATAAGAAGTCAACAGAGAGGTACTTAAAAGCATGTCTTGCTGTGGTTGCTGGCAGTGGTTCCTTTTCACATGAAAAGAACA